TCAAGATACTAAAAGAGTTGTCTAAGGGTTTTTTTTAGTTCTCCTACATGTAATATAAATATTAGTCCATTCCTATTAGCAAATTTTTTAAGAAGATATGCACAGGGTTCGTATGGTCCTTAAAAGTTCTTAAGTTTTTTCAAATGGTTTTTTGGTCCTTAAAAGTCCTTAATTTCGGCCAAAATCGGCAGAAGGTCCTTAATTTTAATCATCTGAAATTTCTGTCTGTTTTTACGACTGGCATTTTGAGTGTGAATTAACATTTTGGAGGAATATTTTTGGCGATTCGCTGGCAAATTTCGTTATCTTTTGAATGGGTGAATGTGTTCATGGGTTATAATTTGTTTCTATTTCTAATATAAATGTTGGGAATTATTTCATTTTTTCTAATGAAGAGCTCTTAAACAGCGTTTTGCTTTTGGGGATGTGAATTCTTTTAATAAACTGAATTAATTTGGCAACTTATCAACATTTTGGCGATTTTAAGATAAGTGTCAATAGAGAATTTTCGATTCCGAAATCTGGGAATTTTTTGACAGTTTTTTTAGAACATTTTAACACTGATAAATATCATTAAAATAATGGTAATATGTTGTAATGATATTTAAGAAACAACATTAAAATAAAGCATTTTTATTTTGTGCTGTCATATTACTGAGTTCCATTTTGGCCACTTATTATACACTATTTTGAATCTGAAAAATAAGCAACATATAATGATGTAAAGCACAATTTACGAAACAGTTCTTAGTAAAAGCAAAATAGCTATGTAATTAATTAAAAATGTCTTTTTAATTTTTTCATGGTATGAGTTTTTCCATGTAATTGTCTCAGAATATGTGTCAGTTTTCTCTATAAAATTTACACTTTTTCCCCTCCGATTTTTTTAAAAAACAAAATTTCTAACTTTTTGCTGTTACCGAATTGGTAGGGGTAATTTTTCTCTTGGGATTTTGGACATAGCAGCTTGGAAAGTTTAGAAAGATTTGAGGGCAAGGTTTATAGACCCACGATTCTGGAAGATTTCAGAAAAATGTGATAGAATGAAAAAAGTCTCTATCGAATTAATACGTAATTTCTTACATTTTGCAGAACGTCTGAAAAGAACAATGAAAACGTAATCGTTGAATGTTTTACTTCTGATACTAGAATCTTTTTTTAACATTTTTGTCTTACCTTTATTTTCTCTACTTGACTTCTCCCTACTTGACACAAGCATGGGAAATATAAAATATGCTTCTAATCTTATCATACGGACAGGCATCATAGAAAAGGTTTTTTTCTTTATTAATAAAGCAATTGAAAACTGATAATTTAAATGATTCATCTAATATGTCGTAATGCGTCATACACAGAAATGGACGGTGCTATGCATTTTTCCACCTGATGCAATCTCTGTAGATCCTAAATTCTGCTTCCAATGCTTGTCCTAAATTCTAAAAGTTTTGCCATTTCTAGATTTTGTGGCTCGATGTGTCACTAAATTTCTAAAAATTCTGCCACACCAGCTCTGTAACCGGACCTTACCATATATATTTCATATTTCTTCTGAATGTTCATATTTCTAACGAAATAAAATTAATAGCTTTCTCTATACATTCTAAATGTATTAAGTGTTTTTAGAATAACAGAAATCTTTAATTAAATCCAAAAATTCTAAAATGAAAAGGAAACATGGAAGAAAGAAACTGGATACATAAAGAGAAAGAAAATTATTCTTCAAAGATATGTACGGATATTATTATGGAAAAATTACTCAGTTGTATGCAATTTCAGCCTTTACTATAATTTCTGATTTCTATTTTCTCACAGAATGCAAATCACTTAGACAGTTTTTAAACTGAGGTTTTGGGAGTGTATCGCAAGAGTCTGTTTCTGACCTCCACTTGCTCCCTGCATTAATTCCTGCCAGCTCTGATAATTTTTAATTATTCATCTTTACATAACCACTGCCAACATTTGAATTTGTTGCTACGACAGAGTTACTGAGCCAGCTTAAAATGAAATTAAATTGTATAGTCTTTGATCACTAGTCCATATTTTTAGTTTTAATTTGATTCTTCTTGTTCAATTACATCACCATGAACTGTAATTGATTTTGTTAGCATAAGAACATGCCTTTATGTTCTAAGTACTAGGAGATAAAACACGTAGAAACTACCGAGAACTTGTCTTGTGTATTGAGACAAATATCTGACTGTTAAAAAAGATGCTTAAAGAGAAGGAAATCATTACTTTTATGAATTGTACAGCCACAGTAAGATAGTTTCACCACTAAGGAAGCGTAGGGTTGCCACATTTGGTGAGAATTCGCCCATATGCCTATAATTTGGCAACGGAATTAGCGATATGCCATGGATGGATGGAAAACCTTCTGGAAGGAATTCTTACTGGTTTAGCCCAGAATGTTCTCGAACACAAGCCAAAAGCTATATAAACCCTGCTGGTATGCAGAGAGTCAATTAGTGTCTCGTCTAGCGAGTTGATAGTGAGTCAGTGAGTGAGTGCCTAGTCTAGTGCCGAGTTGGTCATCGAGTGCATCAAGAGAATCTCTTAGAGTATTGCGAGTTAGTGCATTGTTGAGTTTGATCCTAGAGTATGTTGAGCTCCAGGAATGACTGAACCGTGGAGTCCGGAGCTGTACTCTAGTGTGTCGTCGCAAGCTGTAGTGTGGAGAGTATCGAGAGTACGTAAAGTTCCGAGAACAACCGAGCAGAGTCAGGAGCTGTACTCTGGTGCTTTGCCGTGAAGCTGTCTTCACCGTTATAGCCTAAAGGGTGTGTCGCTGATTGTTCCATCTTGTTTATAGTAGTTCTTCGACAATGTAAAAGTGGTTTTGGAACTGTCTTGAATAATACTGGCCAATAAATTATTTTTCGATTCTTCATCAAGTGCTGTGTTGTCATTATTCACTCCAAATCCACAAACCCGTACGTATGGGAAAAAGAGAAAAATAACGCAGCAATATAAATTAGCTAAAATGTCTGGGAAAGCTTCAAATTAAAAAAACACATAAACATTTTGTTGATACAAAACATAAATGTTTTGTAGCTTTTGATGGGTAATTATCCTAATATCGTTTAAGAATCTATGTCATACATTACATGTATGTTAAACTGTGAAATTTTATTAGTTTGTGATTTTAAGAGGGCTTTTTTAACAAATAATTAAAAAAAAATAATAAAATTTAATAGTGCCCTTAATCATGTGTAAATCCATAATGATTAAGGTTATCTAATACCTAACTTAATTACTTATAACTAACTGCTTACCCTTAAAAATTATCTCTGCATATTAAAGTGAGTTATTGCCTTTCATTAACCTTATCGTGGTCACAAGATAAAACACAAGAATGTAAAAATTCATGTGAAACCTATTCTTTGCATCTTGTGAGACTTAATGCAAAACAACTTATCATCTCTAATGCTTTAGCTGATTATTAGAACCTTAACTGAGTTACAACCCCTGGAATTCTATACGAAGCTATGGCACTAACTGCATCAGACAGAGCCCAGCTAACTTTCAAAACTTGCAAACTGTGCTTACATCAGGCCTTTCAGGTTTGTTCTGATCAGCAGGTCTCTCTCTAGGCAAGCAGGCGTGGTGATAACAGCCAGTCTTTTGGTTTGAATCAATCTGATTATGATTTTACTTCTCATTTTAACCTATGCCACTTGACATAAAATTACTTTCTTTTTACCAAACCTCTAGACTGAGCAAGTACATGACAAAATGAGACATTTAAAAAAAAAAAAAAAAAAAAAAAAATCGACATAAAGCTAACTGTTAGTAAAACCTAAATAAAATGTCACTTAACTTCTTTCAAATATGTCCAATTATTACAAGTTTAAAATATTTAATGCTACTTGATAAGTTTCATAAAGTTTATTTTATTCTCAAACTTATTTATAATTATATTAATTATGTTTAATAATAATGCATCCTACTTACCGATCTATTTTATTTTTAGGATGGTATTACAAAAGTGAAGTTCAGGCATAAATAATATTTTTAATTGAATTTATTCAGTTCTCATTTACTTATAGGTCCTTAATCTTTTTCATTAATGGTCCTTAAAAGTCCTTAAAATTACTTAATTTCCGTGTGTATAAATGTGTACGAACCCTGTATACATGCTAAGGAGAAAGCCTTTGTGCTTTGTTGCAGAGTAGTATTTTCCATCTGCTATAAATTCTCTAAGCAGAAGCTGAAACAGAATTCCCTAAGCAGAAACTGGAGTATGCTATGAAATTTCATGTTTCAGTGAGAGTTACTTCTAGTGTGGAAGAATTACACATAAAAGGCTGTTGCCATGTAAAAGTTTAAAGTTTGTAACATTTTTGATTTTATAGAAGTATAAACAAGTTGTACTTTTTATTTTGGAACCAACATAAGGTGTTTTTTTTTTTTTTTTTTTTTTTTTTGTGTGTGTGTGTGTGTGTGTGTGTGTGTGTTGTCATCAATATTAAATATTTTCATACATATTTTGACATGTAGTAGTTACAATGACTGTAGTACAGATCTGCTGTGAAAGAAAATCAGATGGAATAATAACAATTCATTTAATACTCTTAATATTTTGTAATGTTTAAAGATGAATTTTGTTATATTCTTTCATCTTATGTTAATAATCATTGTTCTGTTACTTGGTGATTAGTATGTAATAGCTAAATAACAGAACATTTTACTAATATTGGAGTATTTTTTACATTTACAGACTTTATATCTCAGTGTTTTTGGTTCTTATTGGCAGTTCAGCTCCATAAAGATGCAGAATTTTCTGTTATATTTATTTTGAAAAAAAAAAAAAATTGTCTTCAGGAATATTTTAAAATTCTTATTATTTAAAATTTTTCAATCTGTTCTGTGTTTTATATGTGTTAAATTTTTATATTTCATTCATTATTAATTAAAGTATATCTACTTCAGTGAGCATAGTTTCCCAATGAAGCAATTTGATCTTCTATTAATGTAAATTAACCTGTATGTATGCATTATAGGTTTTACTTTCCAACAAGCTGGACAGTGAGAGCAGTTTGACATATGTTGCAACATGTATTCCTCTGTATTTCACATTTATAGTCCTGATTTTATTAGCATTTGGATCAAAAGGTGGAAACCACTGTATGTATATTTTCTGTTTTGGAAACCACTGTATGTATATTTTCTGTTTTGTATTAAATGTCTGTCTGTTCTGAACTGGAAGTCATATTTCTTAATTGTGTGCAACATTATATATGGCAGTTTTCTGTTGATCATATCCAAGTATGATAGTCTACATTTTTAAATGTAATTTGTTAGGGAATATGTGTAGTGGGAAATAAATTACTTAAGGTGCTTACATGAAACATACTAAACATTTGAAATTGCATTTATATGGTAAAACTGAGAGAAGAAGTGTAATACAGATGCTCTTATTTTACAGTGACTTGATAACTGGCAAATATAACTTTTAGCATTAATTTCAGTTGGAAATATTTGAGAGTACTTTTTCAAAATGTTTAAGTCTTTTTTTCAACTGCAATCAGTACGAACAAAAGTTAAATCAGCTAATTATTTACTTTGGAATTATGTGCATTTTAGCCATCTAAGTAGTTCTGCTGGTAACTGCTTAAATAATTATTCCAATTATTTATTTATTTACATATTATTATTACTTTTTTTTTGCAGGGTGGTTTGGTATAAGAAAAGACTTTTGCCAGTTTTTGCTTAGTGTTTGTCCACTTCTGCAAGAATATGGAAACATATCATATAGTTTACACAGCAATGAACCTGAAGATACTGAGCCATCGATTCAAGTTATAACTTGTGGTAAACCACTGTATTCTCATTCTAAGAAAAAAAGTGCCTCATCTCAATCTGAACTCAGGGTTGTTGTACCTGCTCTTTCAATTGAAACTCCTGATTAAAATTTGAATAATTCTTGTCAGTAAATTAATAATCTTTCTGCATTCACTCATCTTGTACTGATATGTTCATTCATTTATTTCAGCCTCATTGAAGTAGAATTCGTCATTTTGCTTTATGTATTTATTTTGCTGTGAATATACCTGAAATATTTTTTCTTTACAAGTTGATTCCTAATTAACTGTGACTTCTGAGTCTTTGAAAATGTATATACATATACTGGGGTTGAATATCATTTCTGTGATTAATCGTTTTTATAAGCTTATTTGGTAAAAATTTGTATTAAAAAATCATCTTCAAGACCATTGTGATCTTTGTGTATATGTAGGACATCCAATACTCTGGGAAAGTTGAAAGGTGTCAGTGCCAAGTATAAAATTTGAGAAGGGACAGTTATGTATAATATTAATCTCAACATGCTGAAGCATATAATGAGTTTTGTGTTCTGAAGACTTTTCAGTGATCATAGGAAATATCTCATAAAATTTTTGTAATTTTCACACTATAGTGGGTGTCTATTTTATATTTATGGCCAGAAAAATATATTTGAATGATTCACAATTACAATAAGATGTCTGTGATGGAATTATTTGTATAAATTTTATATTCAAATAATAAATGGTTGTTAATGAGCATATCTATGATTACGTGCAAACTGTTGTTCACTTCTAATCTGAAGCTGATTGCACTGTGCACCTAACATTGTTCCAATGCATACTATATTTGTTTTCAGTGTTTGCTTACATCCCATATACATCTGAATTTGTATGAAATACTTTTAAAGTTAGTGATTGTATAGTATTTAAATAATGTAAAATTTCAAAAAGTAAAACCAAAAATTAAGAAATGAATATGTTGTGCACATAATAAGGACATGAGGTCTGATTGGTTTTGATCTAATAAAAACACTCATTTCTGTAGGTCAGAGGTGTACTGCATGTAACTGCTGTAGAATTGCCACAGTTATCCAAATATAGTATGATCCAAGAAATCCTAACTAATTTCATGAGCCATTTGTTGTTTCAAGTTAATAAGAATGTACTTAATGTACATGCATGGCTTAATCTTTGACACAAATAATTGACTAGTGGCAGTGTCATCCACATTTTTTTAGACAAGTAATGGATTACTCGTATGATCATCCAGGTAGTTTTTTCTTAAGTAATATAAATTAAAAAATGTGAAGTCCAAAAATTAAGAAATGAATATGTTGTGGGTCTTTCTCTTCCTGTGCTTATAACTGCCATACTGTTTAGTCAACAAATGTTGCAGTTGGCATTATGTGCCATTTTTCCAAAGGATCATTGGTCAGTTCTTTCAGTTGAATTGGGTAACTTGGCATATCCAGCAGCTCTCAAGATTGAACTATTTTTATTTTCTGAACTGATTGAACGGTAATCATTTCTCTCAGTATTCATGTTAATGAACCAGAGGTGCATCATAGCTTGTACACAGGGCAAAATTAAAACAGGAATGGACGTGCTATGTTACTGAAATGTTGGCTATACTTACCTAAAATATACAAATAAGCTTGGCCATTCATAAGTGGTCCTTTGATATCAATCTCTGCGTCAGTGACTTCCAGTCTGCAGTATGTGTCTCCAAAGCCAGGTAACCAGGGTTCATTAGGATACAGTAAAAAAATTTAGTGAAGTGGGGAAAAGCTCTACATCTAATCTAATTAGGCACTTAAATTTCTGCTACTTTTCTGCGTACAAATGCAATAGCCAGAGCCTTTTTATTACTTTCATAAAAGTAAATACTGTAGCAAGCCACAATGCTGTAATCAATTTTAGTTTTACAATATGTATCAATTGAAGCTGATTTAAAGAAGCTACATGCCTCAAAATATTTTAAGAATCACAGTGTATGTAACAAATCACAATGAATTGTTGTTTTGTATAAAATATTTGTGTTTTATAAATATCTCAAAACAAGTTTTATATACCATAATTTCCGAAAGAAACGCTGCGACGTTTACGTGTTTAAAACTTAAATTTTCAGCGGGTATGCCGTTTCTACCCATGCAGGGTTTAGGTGCACTAAAAATAAAATATTTCTTATGATGGTCATTGTACATAAATTGGATGGCCTTGTCATTGTACACAGACTGGTACTGTTCCCTCACAAAAGACCACTCAGTTGCTTTTTGTGAACGTTATTTTGTTTACATTCTTTCTCTTGAACGGACCTACATGCCTTATTCACACTAAACAGGATCTCAGAACGATAACATTCTTCCCCATTTCAAATCAGCATTCTCATCATTTTGAATAGTCTCTCTCCTCTGCCATTCGATGAATCTTCCAGGACCCATCCTCACCCCTGCCTTTTCTGCAATTTTTTTCAAAGGTGGACACAACTCCACCTGCCTCGCAATAACAAACTCTGATGTAATTCCCCTTCAGCCTGAATAAATTTTTCTTGGCAGAATGCCAGGTACAGATCCCATCAGTTTGGGTACAAGTACTTGTTGGATAGTTTTTAAGTAAGAAGGGAGTGGAAAACTTTTGAAAATGGCACCTAAACAGCAAGCTATACTGCTGGTTTTAAGCTTAATTTAATTTCACACACTGAACAAATTAGAAATAGAGCAGCAGCTCGAGAGTTTGAAGTGAACGAGAGATGTATTCAACATTGGAAAACTGAAAAAGAGGAACTTAAAAATATGTCACAACAGAAACGAGCCGAAAGAAGTACTGTAAGGTGGCCAAATCTAAAGGACGACCTTGCAAACTGGATAAAGGAGCAACGAGGAAAGAGAATGGCAATTTTGACTGTAAAAATTCACTTACAAGCAAAATTTATAGCAAAACAAATGAACATAAATGATTTCAAAGAAGGGCCTTGCTGGTGTAGCAGATTTATGAAAAGAAAAAATATTTCTGTGCATACTAGAACAGCAGTCGGGCAACAATTACCAATGGACTGGCAGGATAAAAAGGCATCTTTTCTAAAGTATTTGACAGATATTATTGATAAAAAAAAACTTCTTCGGTCACAGATAATAAATATGGATGAAACACCGTTAGCTTTCGACTCTCCTGCAAATAGAACTGTTGATGAAACTGGCGCAAAAACTGTATCTGTGCTTACAATGGGGCATGAAAGAACATCATTTACATGTGTGTTAGCTTGTGCCGCAAACAATGACAAGCTAAAGCCGACGATCATTTTTAAACGTAAAACTATTCCGAAGGGAGATTTTCCTAATGATGTAATTATTTGTGCATGCGAGAACGGCTGGATGTCAAACAATCATGCTACAAAAAGTTTGCCACTGTCGTAAGGGATCTTTTTTCCAACCAAAAGGGTTATTGATAATGGATTCCATGCGTGCTCATTTACTTGAGTCAGTGAAAACCAGATGTCAAAAATTGTCTACCACTGTAGCAGTAATTCCTGGTGGTTTGACAAAAATGTTACAACCATTAGATTTGTCAGGAAATAAATTCTTCAAAGCTGGAGTCTGAAAGCGGTGGGAGTGTTGGATGAGTAAAGGATTGCATATGTATATCAAAAGTGGTAAAATGCATAAAGCATCTTGTGAAGAAGTTGCAAAGTGGGGAGGAAGTGCGTGGAAATCGTTAAAAACATCGTCAGTAATAGCAGGATTCAAAGAAGCTGAAATTATATCCTTAGATAAAGAGACTGTAAACCAAGAGGATGAATGTGACGATCTGGAAGAGTTGGACATAGATCAGGATTTACTATATCTTTTTAATTCAGACAGTGAAGAATCAGATTTTGATGACTTCATATGATGTATAGTTTGCTGTAATTCCTTTTGTAAGTAAAATTTAAAATTTCCTTTTGTCATCCAAATTTAATATTTCGTTGTTGCAACATTTTTTATAATATAGTCTGAGTATTGCAAATATGGACTTCTTTAGTGGGTAAGTATAAGTATATTCGTGAACGTAAATATATTTTCAACATTTCTAACCTTTAATTTATTTTTGAGTTATGGTTTCATTTCGTGCATTTTTCTTAACTGATATGTCATATATCAGGACATAGGTTGAGATTTTGCATCTATACGTCCCACGATGATGTCACGCTCAATTTAATCTGTTGCGACATTTCCGTGTAATTTTAACATTTTTCCCGCCATATTTCTCGAGTGCGGCGTTTACACTGATGCGGCCTTTCTTCTGGAAATTATAGTATTCATTCACAGCTCCAAATTTTAATTTAGTTTATTATTCAAAATATATTTTTAAAAGTTCACCTATGTATTTGTGGTCAGCATTGTAATTTTTAAATTTTGAATTTAACTATGTACTTTGAGTTCAGCATATTATTGTAGTGTTTTTAGTTCCGTTGTCAGACTGCTTATTTCTGTTATAACGTAAATTTGAAGGAAGAATTACTACATTGATTACTACAAAATTTAAAATATGAAGGGAAATTCGTTCGGTTCTGAATGAGTGCGCTAGTGAAAACGTTTTGAGAACACATGTACATCACTTTAACTGCCACTTTATGTTGGTTGATTTAATGTATGGTTTATGTGCTGCTAGGTGCTAAAAATTCAGTGTGCAGTTGAACTATTATATGCCAATATTTCACCTGGAGACGTACTGGAATTTGTTGTGAACTGTTTCTGAAAAATTATATGTGATTATGTTTCACTATTCTCTTCATCGTTATGTAAATTCTATGCGTCTGCAGACATGTCTGTGATTTATTTGTGCCTGTATAAGATAGCTTCTATATATTCTATTTCCTAAAGACATATGGTAGAACAGAACACATGCAAACACAGAGAAAAAACTTCATGGTTGGAATTTTCACACTTGCTGCATCTACTTCATCGTTACGTAAATTCTATGCATCTGCAGACATGTCTGTGATTTATTTGTGCCTGTATAAGATAGCTTCTACATATTCTATTTCCTAAA